TTCCAATATCATCAGGTTTGGAATGATATGTACACACTCAAAACACTATTCCAATATCATCAGGTTTGGAATGATATGTACACACTCAAAACACTATTCCAATATCATCAGGTTTGGGATGATATGTACACACTCAAAACACTATTCCAATATCATCAGGTTATGAATGATATGTACACACTCAAAACACTATTCCAATATCATCAGGTTATGAATGATATGTACATACTCTAAACACTATTCCAATATCATCAGGTTTGGAATGATATGTACACATTCAAAACACTATTCCAGTATCATCAGGTTTGGAATGATATGTACACACTCAAAACACTATTTCAGTATCATCAGGTTTGGAATGATATGTACATACTGTGACACACTCAAGACATTATTCTAGTGTTACCTGGTTTGGAAAAATATACACACTCAAGACACTATTTCAATGTCATCAGGTTTGGAATAATATGTAAACACTCAAGACACTATTACAGTGTCATCAGGTTTGGAATAATACATACACACTCAAGACACTTTCATTGTCACCAGGTTTACAATAATATGTACTCTCTCAAGACACTATTACAGTGTCATCACATTTGAAATATGTACACACTTAAGACAATATTCCAATATCATCAGGATAGTAGAAACATCACAAAGCTATTGTGATATGAGTAATGTATACACCCCTTACATAAATACATCATTCCAATGTGATACGGTACTGTATGTAACTACATGTATAGAAATATTGTTAGTTTATCACATTTTCAGAGTTGTTTTTAACAAGCTGCAGTTAATATGAATACTTTAAGTGATATGTAACAACTCGTGGTATGTTTAATGATTAATGAACTTAATTTCAGATGTGTTAAAAGAAATTAAGTTAACCAACTTAGTTTGTTTTTCAACTGATCTTATGTCTCTCTATTGATGGATAATTAAGCATAAGCATGTTGTTCGGGATTGTTATTTATCCTCATTTATTATTAAAATGTTGTGTATTTACTTCTTTATTAAGCTTTCTGTAACATCTAGACTATTTTGAAAATTATATCCACCAGGTTCGCTTAGAAACACTAAAAATGAATACATCCTCAGTTTCAACTTTACAACTGAAGTTCTAATCGGATAATGTGTTTTAAGATTTGTGTTATAATAAAGCATCAATAAAACATTTGATTATGGGTAAGTCATTTTCTCGGAAGAGACCCATTTGAGATAGTCATTCTCATTCATAAAACACAAAACGTATAAACAACTGAATACATATAATAATCTTTATTATTTACCAAAATGGTGAACAAACATTTGAACACACAAATTAACGAAATATTTCCAATGAAAATATAATACTTTTTTTATCTGTATATTTATATCATTAATAACAATAGCAATATCTAAAGATGTTTAAATATATTGAAAATAAATATTACATTACACAAAAAAGGAAGTTGATAGAAGAAGGAGAAAATATGGCCACATAACTAGTGGATTGTTCCCAGACGACAATTGTGTAGGTTGTCGGCAAAATAATACCCGCTGGAAATGCCACGTAGTGAAATATAGATTATGTCTGGATTATTTCATATATAATGTCTGAAAACAAATAAAAATAGCTGTTGTCATAGTATCTGCAACACTTAGTGGAGTTACGAAAAGCTAGGTTATTGGTCTAATATCATTGACCAATTAGCTTCTTACCAACATTGTGTTATTTGGGTGTGTCATGTGTTTTCCACCCCCTTGTTCAGCGTTGCAAGTCTATTTTTAATGTAGAATATTAGTCAAGGAAAGTTTCTTCCATCTTGGGTCATTGCATCTATTTTTCACTTAGAAGATATTACTGTAATACAGTGAATAAAAGCACTAATCTATTATTGTTACACGTATTGTTGCGTCAGCGAGGTCACATGACTAGTATCACGCCACGTCCTTCTAGAAATATCCTGTTCCTTCATGAATGCTCCAGCGTTTACTATGTATGTGTTAGTCTAGTATATATAAGACGGTCACAAAGTGACGGGAACAATATGTGTGTAATTGAACTGCGGAGGTAATGAGTAAGAATATTGTTGAGCACGTGAGAAGTTCGTTGAGTTATAGCGTTTGTTATAGAGCGAATGTTGAAATTAAGTGTATCGTAAAGTTGTATTCGGAAAGAATAAACCAGTTTTATTTAAGAAAGGACTTGTGTCGCTAAAGTTTCGTCGGAACGAATTTACGGAAAATTAACTAACGAACGGAAACGTAACAAATTGGTGTCAGAAAGTGGGATAAAAAAAGAGAAGATGGAAACGAGAAGCGGCAAATCAAACTACAGCTTAGCAGATTTGATGGCAGCAATACAAAAACAGCAAAAGAAACAATAAGAGAGACAACAGCAGTGGCAAGAAAACCTGCAACAGTGGCAGCCCGAACAGCAAAGTAAACGAGAAATTACAGCAGTTGTTGGAGGAAAAAGAGAAGAAACAAGAAGAGAGATTACAACAGTTGTTGGAGGAAAAAGAAAAGAAACAAGAAGAGAGATTACAACAGTTGTTGGAGGAAAAAGAAAAGAAACAAGAAGAGAGATTACAACAGTTGTTGGAGGAAAAAGAAAAGAAACAAGAAGAACGAGAA